ACCCTGGATGTACAGTAACACAATGAGCACAAACGTCTTCAAGATTCCAGGATAATATGTTTGCCAACTCAGCGGGGGAAAAACAGCCACATCGGGTGAATGGGTCGCCATTGTTGGCCACAAATCACTGCAGTCCTTCTTTAGACATGGACAACCCTCGGTTTTTGACTGGGGGGGGGGGGAAGGGGGGCTACATAGGACAACAAAACAGGAATGTATTGGAAATGAACAAATTCTGGGAGCCAGAGTCAACATGCAGAAAATTCCAAGGGAATTGTTACTCTAATGATTGCGCATACCTCCAGGCCTACATACACACTTGTAAATGGTGATTGGAATTTTTTGCCAATAGGGCATTTGTACAAGTGTTTAGATCAGGATTTGTCATGTCTGGCGACTAATGAGCCATGCCAAGAATGCTACCATACCTACACCTCTACTCTACTGGGATGGACTGAGCCCATACTATGGGCCAATTTCATGGTATTTCAAGGCTGGGCCAATTTCATGGTATTGCTAACCACAGAATTTTGTGTGTGTACAATCACCATTCTGTGCTGACACCACAAGCACAGAAATTCTTCTCTAACCCTATATTACGCAAGGAGACCCTACAGGATGTGTGTATGGGACGAGCAAAAACTGCCGGCTTACCCAACAAATCCAGGGGAGTCAGGTTGGCGTACTAGCGGTACTTTCCTCGCCTTCCACTGCTGTGACCAGGGGCAAATTCCATGGTGCTGCTAAGCACACAAATTTGCTTAGCACAAAAAAAAGTCTGGCTTATAAAAGCAGGTTACCAGCCAAAACTCCATGTGATGTATATTGCTTGTGATTTACTTAGCATGAAAATCACATGGAGTTTTGGCTGGTAACCAGAGCTTTGCTTTTATAGGCCAGACTTTTTTGTGCTAAGCAAATTTTTGTGCTTAGCAGCGCCGTGAAATTGGGCCCTGGGTTCAATTCATGCCTGGGCCAGTAGGCCAATACATGTATGTCGACTTTTCAGTCCCTAATTGATTCCGTGGGTTTTCCTCAGAGTGTTCTTTTGGGGTTTTCCTCCCACATCTAAAACTGTATTTTTTTTCACATTGTCTTCACTTTACTGGGACCCATGGGAGACCAGTGGATTCCACTGAATGGGCAACCCAGTTAAAATAAGAATTAATTAAATAAATAAATAGAAATAAATGTATACTATCTGTCAGTCCAGTATTTTCAGCACAAGAGCTACATGTACCATGGAGGAATAAGAACACATGTACACATCAAAATCGAAAAACGACAAACAAAACAAGCAACAAAAAACCAAGAGCAAAGTTGTTGGAGTTGTTCACAAGATTACCAAATTGGCCTCTTTTGGATGTGACATTCAAACTCAGACTGCATGGATTCTGTTACCCTATATTATAAATGACCAAACACAATTTTTTTCCCCAATGCAAACAAAATCTCAAGTACATGTAGAATTGTGCACTACAGTTGGTAAGCAGCTGAGACACTTATCAGCAAACACATGTACCTATGTTTGCACACACACTTACAGGAAAACTCTCTTTTTTTTTGATTGGCAGGCAGGCTAAGCCAAACCAGTGCCTGAGGGGTTTCAGAACAGATCAATCACTGCATGCACTGGAGCATTTCTTGGTGATTGGAGGAACATGTACAGTACCGGTACATGCACATGCTGTGGGCCAATTTCATTTATTTAAGAAACACGCACATGTAATGGTAAATGTACCATGTACAATGTTAGTCATGTTCTTGAGCCAAGATACCACATTTCATCAAGTATCTAGGCACTAGAATGGGGCAAGTACTTGTGCCATGTATGTGTGTCCACGTTTCTATATGTGACCCGCTCTGCAAAAATGAGTCTGATGTCGCATAGCTTGAATTCCAGCTTTCACCACTTTTAAATGGAAACAGTGAAAATTTGCTCAAAATTTGGATTTTTTGTTTTTGTTTTATTTTGGTTGTTTGATAGTTTTAGTTCAGATATCTTACACAGAAATTTAAATATTGTAAGAAAAAGACCAACAAATTCATGATTTTTGGTGATTTTCTTGGTTAGTTACAGTGTATTTGTAATTTTTAAACCCTTTTTTCTTCATTGAGACATTTCTTGCTTGGCAAAAACTTGACAGAATTAAAAAAAGGCACAACAGTGCAACCAAACGTCCTAGAGAGGCCCATGATATACCAAATGAAAGCTTATTTCATTCCCATTTTATTAATGTAGTTAACTCAAAATGTCAGTTTTGCCACAACAGACTCATTTTTGTGGAGCGGGTCACATATAGCTGAATGGTTGGGTAAACATGCATGTCAAGTCGTTTTTGGTCAATCAAAAACAAGGATCCACAGATTGAAAAAGTAAAGCAAAATTATTATTTGTCTTCTTTGATATGAACAAGGGTTTCATTCACTTTGAACATAAAGTAATGCATGCATTTGAAATTATACCATGTATACAGGAGATTAGTTATGAACGGTGTTAAATTGTAAATGAATTCATCAGGAAATCAGCTTGAATTTTCAACCCGAACTCTTTAAAATCCACAAGGCAGAGCCCAACCACGATGACTTTACATGAGGCTTGATGCCTCTCGAAAGTTTCAAGTACAAAGAATGTATTGTTGGGCTTCTGAACAATGGAAGACTTTTAGCAGATTCAGGAAAGTTTCCGGCAAAACTGACTAGAAATGCAGGAAGCTAGGATTAAATTTGTTACCTGGATCAAAGTGTCAACTCCTGTCCCTCAGTCCAACGCATTCACCAGCACAGACAACACAGACACATGCATTCATGAACACCAACCGATTTTTTCCATCTACACACAAGCACACTGGAACATACCGCAATGTCTGTTCCATCGATCCAGCACCACCAGATCTAATTTCAACCTCTGCATCATTTCAGGCTTGTGTCCTTTCCACTACTATGTACTTTTTCCCCTTCTTCTTCCATCCACACAATAACTTCAATCCAAGCTGTCGATAATAACCCCCCTCTCTCCACCACTAAACAGCCCCGGCCCGGCTCACCCAGCCGCCTGCGGCGAACAACAAAAGTGGGTTTTGTTGGTTGCTTTGAAGCAGGACTAACAAACAGGCCTTTTTTCCTATTGTGCCCGCCATGTACACACACATGTACCACTGAGACTCATCTTGGGCAAAGGGAGCATACTTGTACATTCCCAAGAGAAGCTTTTCAGTGCACACCAGAGCCTTCCCACAAAAGGAAAAGTCTGAAGTAAATGCAACCCGCAGACGCCCTTTAAAATTCTGTAACCCCGATAAAAAAAAAGCAACCGCAACTCTGAAATTAAATTTCAGAGTTGTCGCTTTTTATTTCTTTGCCTGCATTGTCGTTAACTTGGCTAGACCGCGGAGGATGGCCTAGGCTAGGGGACTGACCCATTTTGAATGGAGCAAATGGAAACGGCACCGGCTGAATTTTAAATCCCATTGTGACCTGAAATCACTGCTTTTCAATCATTGCACAGCTTGTCAGCTTCCTGCAAGTCATTATCTGAGTGCCTTGGTATTTGTTGCCGAGCCAGTGTGGACCGACATCCAAATGAGACTGTGATAAATGGGCCTTTCGGAACACTCTGACATTAGATACAACAGTGCATTTCCCGCAGAGAATCAAGAGAAAACGGAATTCATCACCCAATAATTTGCTTTGATCCGTCCTGTCAAAACTTTGATACAATGGTAGTACAGGACAATTGAAAGTCATGGATGATTTCGGATAGTCAATACAGAATTCATTTCAACAAGTCCTTAGCTCTATATTCACACCATCCAAACCAAGTTTTGTGGTAATGTTCTTTCATGAGCTTAGGATGTTTTGTTAGTAAGGAAAAAATATACTGAGCTTTTTTGGTGTGGGTTTGAGTGCACTACATGTACTTAAAAAAATTACAAATCTTGGATTGGGTTCACTGCATTTTTTAAAGTAAAAAGTACACAAGTATGAGCAATTTGACACTGTCCCACATGAATTTCAGTATTTTTTACTCAAAACAAGGCCAAACAATTGCCCATATGGTAATAATTACCTAATTTTATAAATTAATCAGTTTAAAGGTGCATTCTCCGTGCTTATTTCGAGTTTCACCTCAAAAAATCGATTGTTTTTTTTTCAATTGCTATTTTCTTAGCAATATAAAATAATTATTCACTTTTGAATGAGAAAATCCACCAAACGTTGAGTTATTGAATTATTTCTTCACAAAATTTGAGTTATTGGCTGCCAGACAACAATTAGGCTCTCGCAGGGCGGGTTATCTGTGCACAAAATGAAAGCCTGTTTTCAGAGAGATGCAGATGCCCAAAATCAGAATAAATTTTTTTTTTGTGTGAAAACAAAACATACTCATTGAAAATTCGTCCGGAGAAAAAAATTGATTGTTTGAAGAGCATGGAGTATGAATCAATTACCTTAAAGCTATAGTCCATCATTTGCAGCCATCCGAAAAGTAACTGGCGTAATTATTGCTGAAAAACAAACTTGGTTGAAAGATAGTAAGGGAACTAAACTCCCTGTGAAATTATTCTTTCTGGGAAGCTGTCATTTTGAAGTAATCAACGAAAGAAGGCATTTCCAACGGTGATTCTTAAGAAGCACCGTAGGAAAATTTAAATTAGTAGTTCGTTTTGTTATTCAGCGCAGCGCGCACAAGTATTGGAACGACGCACACGCGCGCGCGGTTGTTGTAATTCGTCGGATCAGTGCGCGACGTCGCGTATAGCTGCAATTCAAAACAATTCAAAACAGGATTCAGTAACTTTTGATTTGAAATTGAGATCTTAGAATGCTGTTTTTCTCGGAATGTACAGCTGAAGCTTAGCTGAAACTTCATCAGGTTAGTTGCTCAGTATCCTTCATTAGATTTTGAACACTTTTGTTGCTTCAAACGAACAAAATGCACAAATTACAAATGATGGACTGTAGCTTTAACATAAAACTCTGAAAACTGAAATGCTTACCTCATTTGGGTCCACCTGATATTCCTGTGACATAGCACACTCCATTACGGTCCCGCCCGGGGAAAGATCAAGGGTCGAGTAGGGCGGAGGCATGTCCTGGGGTCCGATGACCGGGGTGGGGGTGGACAGGTCGTCCATGAACTCGTTGGACTCCACCAGGACGCGATCATTAGAGATGGCTGTGTAGTCCGGCGGGGAGTAGGGAGGGGGCGGGGCTAAGGGCGGGGTGAAGACCGAATCGGTGGGCATGATGATGTCGCTGAAGAAGGAGTCCCTTGCCAGGTTGCTGCACTGGGATCGACGAACAACCATCTACGAGAAATTTAAAAAAAAGAAGAATATTTTGAGGACTTGTCACATTTTAGCAAAATCTCAAAATTTCAGCAAAGCTTGTCATTTTTTTGTTACATCTTGCATACTCTGCTCCTGTGTCAAAGAATCAAAAAGTCATTAATTTGTTTAAACATACTTAAAAGCTTGGGGGAAAAAAACCCAGAAAGTTAAAAAGAAAAATCAAGGAGCTTGGGTGACTCAGCACCAAAACAGAACAGATTTGAAAGTTGGAATCGAAATCACGACACAACAATTTTTTGACTGTTGCCATGGAGTTGATTCCTACATGTAGCAACTCCCAATAATTTCTGAAAACGTGACGAGTCCAACCTGAAAAAGTTCTGAACCAATGTAATGTCAAAACCCAGTACCATGTATGCCAGTACAGCCCTTGCCTTATAAGGAATCACTTTAAGGACGGCATTGGTGATTTAAAAACTATAAATCACAGATTTGTCAATGAAAATCCACAGAAAAGACAAGTTTTTGTTTCCAAATGAAGATGAACTTCAAGTCAGACAAACCTTGCATCCTTTGTTCCCACTCAGAGCACAGAAAACAACATGCCGCCTCCCTGCTCAGTTGCAGAGTCAAGAGTGAATTGTTGTTGTTTTCTCTCAAGATCTACAGGCTGCACAATTCCTTGCTTGCATTCCAGCTAATGGGATAAGTTATAAAGTGCTTGGGCCATGTTCCAAAACAAGACTAGTCTGCTCATGTAATAGCAGTGTTGATCACTAATCTGAAATGCAATCAGCAAATCATGTCAGTGATTCCTTTTATCTCGTGTGTGAGTAGGGACTTAGCATTTGTCACCCTGAACAAAACATGCCTGACACTTGTTGGTACACAAGCAACATTTTTGCCAGGATTATAACTCTCAACCATTTGTTTTAAAAGCTTCTAGCAAGTGTTGGACTCATTAAAGGGCAATTAGTGGGTTTCACTTTAAAGCTTCTTTGTTTGAAAAAGCTTCTTATGAGCGTTTTGGACAGATTACAAAGCAATTAGCAGATTTTTAACAGTACACTTTCTTTAGGAACTGAGTATATTTAAAGATTTTTAAAGTCAGGTTTGGGCAATTTCAGCATTATGTAATGTCTGTGACAGAACTTTTACGAGCTCAGTGAATAAACCTGAAAATGTATTTTCAAAATCTTATACGGCCATCATCCAGTAATGGTCAAGGAGATTACAGACTAGAAGTTTTGGCTAATTTCTCTGAATCATTAATTAGATATCATGGTTAATTGGCTCTGCCACGGACATTACACTTCCTTTCATAACACTGGAATTATCATATCCTCGTGAACTATTCTACTCTCTTGAATAATTATTTCTTCAGTTATTTTTTTCGGTGCTTACAAGTAGCAAAGATGTGTGCTCAGCTATTCAATGAAGTTTTTGTCTGCTGGGTCAAAATGCAATGGTTCTGCCAAGCTACACATTTTGGGCGGTGAACTGTTTTTGCTTGGCTTTCAAGAAAAAACTCTGCAGCCAAGACTTAAATACATGTAAACAGTTGATGGGAATAGAAAAAAAAAGAAGAAAAAAGAAAGTCTTGCAAAAATACAATAAATATATGCACATCATCATTGGTTCTGAAAAGAATGACTGCACAACATAGGTTATGGTGGAATAAAAAAAAATATGCAAATATCTACAGCATAAGGCTGAAAGGTAAGCAGATTTGTGAAGATCCATCAATGACATACCGATACCTGTAGCATCTGCTTAAATGCACACATGCACATGCATGACACGGCAGGCCTATCCCTGCTTTTCCAACATAATTAACACCATCTTACCTGTACCTTGGTCCTTCCAATGCATCATTATAACTTGTCTTATAACCAAAGGCCCCCTCATCACACAACACCACCGGTACCTGAAGTGCGGCATTAAACCACACACTAATGAGTAAACTCACCTGCATGTACATGAACATGTACCCAAAGGAGGGCAAGCATCTTAAGCTCCGACAAAATTTGAGGTTCCAAGCTCTCCCTGTTTCAACTCTCTCTCCAAACCAAGCATCTGCGGTCCGAGCAACTCTAGGCACTGACTGATTGCTCCCAGCAAGGCTAACAAGAGCCAAGACAACCTTCTACTAATGAGCTCAACAAACCATCAATCCCAGAGAAGAAGAAAAAAAAGCACCGGCATTCCTGACAAATGACCTTTCGGTCCCAACTAACAGATCTTTCTCATGCCCCCTGCCAGCGTTTTCTAAACCTGCTTTCGCCTTGAAACACCATCCACAACAAACCAGTTGCCCTGCTATCTGGAGGAAAAAACTTCCTCAAGCCAAAATTCTCAACTCAATAGAAACACCGCACAGGCAAAGAGATGGGTTTTAGATTATAAAATTTCTTCTCAGATGCCTTTCTGATCTTGCAGCTGTCTTAAGATTTGTAGCATGCATCCCAGTTGGAAACAAAATATTTGGCTAGTATCAGAAACTATGTTGATGGATGTATAGTGAAACCTGGATGGATATACACTAGTTTCATCACAGGAAACCGACAACATTTACTGCAAGTAAAAACAAGCAATGATTTGAAACTCCCCCCCCCCCATCCTGTTTGCAGAGCATGTCTTTGTCTATCTCTGCACAAACTCTCTCGCTGTGTCGTCATGGCGAGATGACCATTTATAGGCAAAGTCTTCCTCCAGCAGACTCCAAACAATAATACAATACCCCAGGCTTGATGCGCAGGGCACGCATCTTGGCTTCGCCTCACACACAAAGCAACAGCTTGTAAAATGATCAACTTCTTCAGTGGGGATCAAAATACATGTACTTGTAGCTTGGGGCAATATTTAAAAAGTACTATCAAATTGGTGTTGCGATACTAATTTAAAATCCAGAAGTATTTAAGCATTTATCCAGGGAATCTACTTTACATGTTTTCATTGGAATTCTTTACAATATGAAACTAAACATAGGTTTGAGGCTACTACATCTAGTAGTACTGTATGATTAGGCCATGATTAGGCCTACTTATTGTGTTATTCTAGAGGGGGGGGGAAATGGTGCAGCTGTTTTAGTAATAAATAAAAGATGACCCAAATAGAATTACAACTGACAGTCTGCATGCAACAAAAATTCAATGCAGTTCTGTAGGAAAATCATCAGGAAAACTGACACAGGTATCCATTTTCATAATTAATTATATTTTTTGCTGGTATCCAAACTATCCATCTTAAAGAGCTAGCTTAGCTGCTAAAGCAAAAAAAAAAAAAAAACCCAAAATGTGTCCATTGTGTATGCAGCTCAGTGTATTTGGACTCTGTGAATAAGTGAGATCTAATGAAAGTATTTTAGTATACACTGTAGTTGTTTTGTAATTTCTCACTTTAAAACAATTAGGGTTTTTTTGTGGTTTCTAATTTTTTGTTTGTCTTTTTTCTGAATATTATCAAATTTCAACTTGAAGTCATTTAGCACAAATCATATAACACCTAAGTAGATCCCTGTCAATTGATTGGTGGAATTTAGTCATATGACATTGAACCATTTGCCCCATTTCACTGACAAATTTTCCATTGTATGATTTACGTCATACAGCATGCTATTTGGTTCCATTTACCGAGTATTTTGGTTCCATTCGTTTTGCTCCATTGCACGCGCGCCTCCATATCGATCGCGGAGCATGAAGTTTGCATTATGTGTTGACCGTACATGACCGACTGTACTGACACTTTGTTGATAGCAATATTTGACACAAACCCTGGCACTTATAATAGTGGGTTTATATTTGTTGTGGATGGCCACAGAAATGAAATAAAACTGAAGGTAAGCCTAAGATATTTTTTCATAAAATATCAAATGACAAGGATCTATACAGGGTGAGTAAAACAAAAACGAAACCCAAATGTCGGGACCATTTTCTTAGTGAAGTTCTGCATGTAGCACTTTCAAAATCTAGGATATGAAAGCCCAATTCATAATCTTTCTGTTAGTATAAGAATCATTCAAATCACCCATGTACTTTTCAAGTTACGGAATTTTAAACACAACCACCGTTTTAAAGTTCTGCCCATGGATCACAAAAAAAGGTATGTGTTATTTCAGCAAAACAAAAACAATTGACACACATCCCTATGTGATTCGTTTTCGTTTTGCTGAAAGAACGCACACCTTTTTTTGTGATCTGTGGACAGAACTTTAAAATGGTGGTTGTATTTAAAATTCCTTGAAAATTACATGAGTGATTTGAAGGATTCTTGGACTAAAAGAAAGCTTATGAATTAGGCTTTCATATCGTACATTTTGAAAGTGCTACTTGCAAAACTTCACTAAAACAATGGTCCCAACATTTGGGTTTCGTTTTTTTTACTCACCCTGTATAGGTGTTATACAATAATGAATGTTTTTCAATTTGTGCAATGGAAGGAATATTTTCATTCGGTGAAAGATGGACTGTTTCATTCAACTCGGCTATGCCTCGTTGAATGGAACAGTCAATCTTTCATCGAATGAAAATATTCCTTTCATTGCACTCATAAACATTCATTATTTGTATACCATCTAGCCTAGATAATGAGAGTGTTGAACCCAAGTTGAATGCGAAATGCCAAAGCGAATATATCTGTGGCAAATTAGCAAATTGGTACCGTTCAAATTAGCCCAATTTCACTGCAATAAATTGGTGATGTGAACTGCACTTCATCATTCCTGATCAAGTACATGTGGGAGGTCCTCACTCCTCATTACAAGTACTTCACACAGCCAAGTTACATGTACTGTAGGGTGAATTGTTGAAAAACTCATTTCAACAAAGCCCAAGTGATGACAACCAACTTACATACATGTTCACTCCCATACTCTCCCCATCCCCTAGGCATGTGCAAGATGAACAAGTACGGTACAGTAACATTGTAACTTCCTCCATAAGAGAGAAAAAAAGAGGCACTTACATCCAAGAGTGTTTTCCATCAAAACTTTCAAAGAGACTGAACAACTTCATTCCCAT